CCGACGATGTTGTCTGCACTTCAGCACGCGGTAAGTAGAGGTGCTTCAAATTTATTTCTGAGGTGCTCTCGAGCTTCTCTCTTCTTGTAACCTCGGCATGTTAGTTTTCTTCATGAGGCTCCTCGTCCTGACCTAAAAACCTCGTGAGGCACAATATGACATACTCATTTCTGAGGAACAATCTTGCCATATCCGTGGTGGAAGTATCCCACCTGGGCATTGGGAGGAGCATTTTCCACTTTTGTTGCTTCCTTTTGCTAACTCCTGTTAAAATAACACCTCACACTTTGGTGAGACTCTTGTAAACTCTTGCCAAGTGTGAACAAAGCCCTTGCTACTGAATAGCTCAACAGAAATTCACAGGTCTCCACAGGAGACGTCGGCAGAGATCGATGAGGACCAGCGAAATGTGCCCACCAAGCGAAACTGCGTCATCACCTGTACTATCAGCAGCAGCGCAATTTCCGTCTCTACTTTCTAAGTAGGATCTTAGTTTTGAGTTTAATTTGAAGGCCTGAGGGTAATCCTACCGGTTGGTCGAATATAGCTGGGAGGTAAACTGAAAGCGTAGCTGTTGTGTGAGTCGAGTGGTCGTAGTTCAACACCAAAGATGTACGGTACTCCGCGATCCTGCATGTAGTCAATGCTGGTACCAGAGGCTGGGTCTGAAATGCCAGTAGTGAGGCTTTGAAAAATCGATAAATCGACCAGTAGGCTTACACATGAGTTCGGCAATCGTGCCATAATTGTAGGTTGCTCCGGTAGTGTTCTGTATCGCTGAGACAGCAATTCGTGCTGCGTTTCGCTGAAAAAATTACTGTTACTATAGGTCGCATAAATATTTGTCAGCACTACTTGTAAAATTCAGGCGTTATTTAGTCAAGGAGGAGGAAGCAGCTTTGGTGCAAGTGAAACTGCTCGTCAGCTTGTTCTCATCAGAACAGAGATCCCTTCTTTCTAGATTTCGATTCATCTTTGTGACGGAAACAGCGCGCATCATTGGTTGTGGATTTTAGTCAAGTCTCTACGACCCCCCCCCTTTTTTTGTGGTCCTCATCGAATCGAGCCTCTTTGGTCGAGCGAAGGGGGAGGGGGGGGGCTGAAATAGGAAAAGCCGCGAGACAATACGACCCCCTTTCTACCAATTTTCAGATTCTCCCCAACTTTCTGCCACTTTTTCCAAAATTTCCCGAAAACTTCCCTAATTTTCCCCAAAAATTGTGCAGGGCAGAGATTCATGGGGATTTTTGGTTCTAGCTTTTACGACACCCCTTTTTTATACTCGGCGCGAAAAAAGTTGTTGTCTCGAGCTGGGGAATGGGGGAGGGGGGACCAAATACGACCCCCCCCCCGCCATAAGGGATCCCCACATTGAAAACGTGTGCCTGCTGTGCTGGTCGGAGCTGGTGCATATAGCACGCCAATGGAACAGGAAAATCACCGAAATTCAAACCACTTCCTGCAACGCCAAAACGTAACGATCCCCCCCCCCTCCCTCTCCCAACAATGGATCCAAGCACGACCTCCCCCACTTATACAAAACGTTCCGTGCACAGCGAGAAAATCAACAATCAAAATGAAATTTTTTTCCCAGCCAAATACGACCCTCCCCTTGGTGGCCAATACTGACCCTTGTGGGGGAATCCCAACGATGTCCCCTGAGCGGAAAGTCGGCATGTTTGGGAGAGTGCGCGATATCGATTAAGAGATCACGCTCGTTTGGTAGAGCACAGCCCTGCCACTCCGCGAGCACACGGTTCTTTGGTTTGCAATTCCTATTGGGCAATCTCTATCCTTTTTAAAGAGTTATGACATCAAATTCACCTGATCGATGTAGTTGTCAGGTCGTGCTTGTGTATAACCCCATGGCGACAATAGTAATTGTCCGTTAAAGGACCGTTGGAAGGCTGGCCGTAGATTACGAGATTAGGGATCTGCCATGTAACAAGATCCCTGAGACCTGAAATTGTAGCAGTTCGAGTAACTAAATAAGCAAGTGAATTAATAATGAGTATATGAAATAGCTTACGAAAGCTTCACATGGTTATTATGGAGGTAATAAAAGCAGGGCACATCATCGCTGGGGATTCCCCAACAGGCCCTGCACTGGGAAGGATGGGCGCGTATCTCGGTCTGAGAAAATGTTGATGGTTGGTTTCGTATTGTGTTCTAGGGACGCTATCAAGGGGAGGGGCGGGTCGGTGCGTATCCAAATCACTTTTGGGATGGGGGTTGTACGAACGAAAAATTTTCCGACCAGAATTTTCATGTGCTCTGTATAGAAGAGTTAAAGAGCCTCCACTCAATTTTTCTCGCTACAGATTTTCTGATGGTTCGTATAGCAAACAACTGGGCTTCTATTCGAGACACACTACCTTTCTGCCCAATTTATACAAGGCTTTCAAATATAGTCTTGATCAGGGCACTTTGAGAAAAGAAATTTGCAAAATGCGAAGCGCTCTTCTCCCCCTCTCCCCACCGACCAAAAACAACCCCTCTCACTAGCCAAGCATTACCAAGGCACTTCGTACACTGGGGATCCCTCTCACTTAGATCGCGAGTGTACGAAGTGCCTTTGGTAATGCTTGGCCCAAGAGATCATCTTCGAAAAGCTAGTTTGTTTTGAAGGAGTCATTTGCCTTCCTCATTGTCGCGCTCTCTGTTGCCTTAGAATTAGGGGCACATCAAAAAGGAGGACAAAAAGTCCACCCACACGTCTAGACAAACTGCGCTTTAAAATATGACCTTTCATTCATCTATTTAATGGTATTCGAAGAAATAGGCGAATATTAATATTTTACCCATACCCCGGTGCTAAACGAAGGCTTTCGAAATTACCGCGGCTTGCGCGAGAAAACTGCACAGCGACCGTTTGTTACAGGGTGGTCGGAACTTCAATTAAAAAGTAAAATGTAAATTAAAACAACATAAGAGAGTAATCTTACAGTATGGTCCAGCAAAGTCGCGCGCGATGAATGACAAATTTACGATGTTAACAGCTGCGGCTGAGGGCTCATTTTGGTCAATGGAGAGAAAGGGAGGCGTTAAAGTCTCTCCTTTTACAGGTTCTCATTTATTAGATTTTACAACATAGTTCATTAATCTGTTTCAAAGATTTTAGTCAAGTGCGCTATGATCCCGCTCCCTGACCCCCGCTCAAAGTTGTAGGGAAAAAAATGGGATGGACTTCTGGAAAAAATTTCCGGATAAGTGTAAGGAAGTCGGGAAAATTCAGGGAGATGAGGAGAGGGGGCAGGGTCGTATTTCGTAAATGTTTCCTCTGAAGGGCAGGACGTGCTTGCATGTGGAATGTTTTGGAAATGTCTTGAAACAACCGTGCCTACTTACCAACAATTTCCGGTTCGGAGAACGGTCGACTGCCGGCATAGATGTTCGAGCAAGGTGAGCGATTTGCGCCGGCTTCACCCCATCGATGTCCCCAGTTACGATTCGCATCGGCACCAACACACCATTTATTCACAGTGAATGTTGCGCGAACGCGTCTTACGCCAGAGTTCGGTTCCTGAATGAATTAGTGAATAGAGCATTAACGGCCGTATTCCAATGGGAGCTTCAGGAGTTAAGAGCTGGGTTGCTTGCAGGCTTGCTCGAGGCGACTCACCGATATCCGGCTATACTCGTACCCATCTGGATTCGCCTCTGGTACGATGTACCAATCGAATTTATCAACACTTCGCGTGATTGTCGGATCAGTGCCGTAACCAGTGACCAGCTGAATAACTGAGAATTTTCATTAAGCGATGGTAAGGGTGCCAAAAAGGCTTAGATGTACTAAAAAGAATATTGATGGGATGCACTGGATGCGTTATGAGGTTCCAGTGCACATCTTGTAATAGGAACCCATGCTTAGCGCAAGTGCGGATAGAGCTCTCAAAATCCTCATATTTAATCGTTCACAAGCGGAGACGACTCTATGGCCGCCATTGATCTACAATCATTATCACCGAAGTCAGCGCGGAGGGGAAGCACCAGTGGCGCGTGGTTTTGGTGCTGCGCCAGCACCTTTCCAACCTCTTATCGAACGGCCGAAACCGCAACGATCAATGGGAAACGGATTGGTGCCGCGTCAACCTCTCCCCCCACTGTCGGATCGAAACCGCACTTTTAGAGAATTTCAGATTCACCCGAATTTCGGTTGACCTGACGAACTAAGTCAGAGTTAGATCTTCTGGGCCTCTGTTGTGATATCCACGCCACTGGCCAGTGTTCCGCTGGTCATCCGATGCCAAAAATAGATACAGTCGTGTTCGCGGAGAATGCTTGGGCGTGGCAGAGGGAGTTGTGGGTTTGGAGCGGTGCCAGCCCGTTTGCCACCGACTGTGAACGCTTGCTCACTTCAACAAATGGTGGAACGGGGCAGTGCCACGCCAAACCGAATTCACCGACGATTATCACCGATGTATTGAACCGGCGCACCTATAGCTGATGATGTTGCAAACCGGTGGGGCGGTGTCAGGAGAGGAGGAAGTCGACCTTCGGCTGTCTCATTTCGCTTTAGGACGAAAGTAACCAGCGGTGGGAACGGGGTACAGCATCGTTGTGTGAAACACATAGGAGGTTTGTACTTTTGGCTGCCGAGGGGGGGGGTCGTATTTGTGGGGGAAGGGAGTCGTATGTGCCTTTGAGAAAAAATTGCCGCGTTGGGAAAAATTTTTCCAGGTTGTTGACTTTTCCTCTGTTTCATGTCCACCATCTCGCACATCACGATGCTGTACCCTGAGTGGGAACGCCGTGAGTTCATTCCAACCCTCCTGAAACGGCCCTGACTGGTTGCTTCTATATCAGCTGTTTGTTCCCTGTGTGCCTGTGTGCATGATGACAACTGACTTGTAAGTAACTCTTGAAAATCGAAATTGAGTGGACCCATATTGCCTAGCAGGCTGGGTGGCTTTTGTCTTATCTTATAGCGAAGCCGAAGGTCTCCAAAAACCAGCACGCGAGTAGCGCAATTCAGCATGCTTCCCAGGCGCTTCAGCTCGGAGCAAGTATTTCAGGCCTCCTTGAGCTCGAGGGCAATAACTGGTATGAGACTCTCCTTGACGACTAAAGGCAGGTGTGCAGCACCTCTTTCTGATTCCATAGAAACTTTGAAAAATATTCTACCCTAGGTTCTATCTACATTGCATTGTGTACGACGCAAGCTTTGGTGTGTTTCATGAGCAAAATGCCACCATTGCCCCTTCCCGTACATTGATTTACGTGTGATCTAGTTCCCCTGTATTGATCTACGTGTGATCTGAGCGACACCAAAAGATTCACCCTCTTGATCATATACAGCGCGACAGCCGGTGCGATCCATTCACGTGCATGAATTCCGGCATCAACGAATATCGCAGGTTTGAACTCATTAGAGGACGAAATCTGAAAAAGTCATTAGTGCCAAAGGACGGAAAACGCCATCAATCGCGACCCTCACCTTGACACCATACATTGTACGTCCTTCGAAGGTTTTTGAGATATTCAACAAAGTGACGAGATCAGTTTTTTGCTCTGCTACCAGTTTCATGAAATCCACCATCTATGAAAACTAAATGTTTTGAAAGATGTAGTTTTGTAGGGCGGTATATGAAGGGCCAGGACGTGAAGGGGTTTTTAAAGGTTTACAAAGATACATTGATTCCTGAAAGTGCGTTCATAAATACCTTGCGTCAGCGTTTGAAGCTATCGATCCAGCGTTGTGATCGCCCTCCAGCGACGCTCAGAATGCTAGCGATGGGTCGAAACGAATGGCAGACGCTCAGAACGCCGAATCCATTCTACACTTCTATAGTGGCTCGAAATGCACAAAGCGTGGCAGAATCACAGAACGCTTACCCAAGCAAGCTATGAATGCACTGTGAAGACTCAAAGATTTATCTGAGCGCCTTCGATTTGCCTGGAGTGAGGGTCCTGGTGCATACTTCATTACATTAATACCAAAACAAACGCGAAGTTGGAATGTTTTAAATTACTCGACAGGCTGTATACGGCTGCATAAGACGCACGCGGTCGCGTTGCGCTGCCGCTTCGGTAATCAATTGGCAAGCGAAATATCAAACGAGAATATGGCGATATTGTGATGGGGTTTTATGTAATGCTTGGCTCTTTCACTTGTCAATTCAGACTCGAATTCCAAATAATACCTACCTCATCGTACGAGTGATAGTTCTCCGCATCAAAATCCATGAAATCCGAGCTTCGTTTCTTTCGCCTACTACTCCGTTCCAAATCGCGACGTTCGCGGCGAATATCTCTTAAATCGTTCACTTAAAGAAATATATAATTAGAGATTATAAAGGAGCCCGGAAAGGGTAGAAAGATAATAGCCCCCCCCCCCCCTCTGATGAGCCCTTTTTGGGATGCACACGTAGTCTACAATGGTACCACGGATGCAACTTCTCACATACAGTGAATCGCTGAAGCCTCACAAGTCAGTGTTTTTATTTTCCCAGATAAATCTGCTATCAATCTAGCGTTCCTGGAGAGATGCAAGGGTTGACTGGCCTGTACACCGATTCGGGATTTGATTAGAGGACCGCGCAGGGCACATCATTGCTTGAGGATTTAAGTCGAGTCTGTACGAACCCCTCCCCTCCCTTTTTTTTGGGGGGGGAGGGTGATACGCCCCCACCCCTGTTTCCCTCTGCGCTCCTCATTGATCGACAAGGGGAGGGGAGGTAGCACTACATGAAAACAAAATCACGAAAAGTCCACCAACTCTCGCTCAGAGCCCAGAAAGTTAAATACGACTCTCACTCCAACAGACAAGCAAGAACACCCCCCCCCCCCTGTCGCCACGTCCGTGAAGTGAGGAATCAACTATCAAATAAATTTTTCTCACAGCCAGATACGACCCCCTGTTGGGGATTCCTCAACAATGATGTGCCCTGAGACAGCGTGGACGGTAAGCGCACACCCTTTCGTCTTCCCAAAGAAATCACTATTCGCTGAATAGGTTACTTGACAAGCAACAGTCACCTGGTCGGCGAGCGAATAGGCGTGCACGCGTAGCATTAATAAGATGTTACTAATCGCAGCAAAGTTGGGAGGTTGTTAACTGAGGATAATGGTTGTAGAAACATGGATTGGCGCGATGCCAGCCCGCTTCCTTTCGTTTTTTTTTCGACAAGTCATAAGACTGTATCATGTGTTTCGTGTCAGTAGTTTTTTCCACCAATTGTTGTCGCTTACCCGCTTGAGCTGTTGGAGGGCGGGCTGGCGGTTCGTCAAGTCCAGCCGCTCTCATAGGCATTGTTCACAGTCTGAGACCCTGACGAAACGGCGGTTCGGCGAAAAGCAAAAAATACTTATTGATCGGAGAATCGCCAACCGCCCCGTTCGACGAACCGCCGCGGTTCAGCGGTTGGGCGAAAAGACGCCAGGGTGGTCGGCCTAGCGTTTTTCGCTCAACCCCTTCGCCAAACCGCCAGACTCTTCTCCCAACCGCCAATCGAACGTATCGAAAGCTTTTCGCCGAAGCGTTTCTTTCTAAAAAAGCGCTGGGTCGCAGACTGTGAACAATGCCATACGCTCCATCATCTGCAGCGAACAAGACTATGACGTCATAAACCCTCTATACCGATCTTAATCATCCCAGCTGACTGACATCGTTTCTAAAGTTCCCTTCAGAAGGCTCTGTCGTATTGGAACTTCTAATGTGTCACACTAATAAGATCTGCGAGAGATGCGTTCTTACCTACTGATGTCTTTCTTCAAAGTCTCCACTTGCGTTACTCCTCGCCGCCTGAGCATCTTTAGAAAAGTATCCATGAACTCGGGAGCAACGAGTACATCAGCGACTGGACTCTGACGCGACGGAGTCCCCCAGACGTCGACCAGCACCCGCCTGGTCCCGGTTTCCTGGAAGTGAATATCGAAATTTTTTTTATAAATATGGAAGTTTGAGTAAGGCATCATGGCAATCATTGACTTGTTTGCTTCTCACAACGAGTGCTACAGAATGTGACCTGTATCGGGCTTAAAACCGATTTCTTTTGGTTTAATAATTCGTGCTTTCTTTTTTTTTGCTCGCTCGACCCTGTGAGGTTCGTCAGTGTCGTTTACTATATACAACAGAGGAATCCCGTTGGTTTGATAGCTACATTGCCGTGGTGTGACGTATTCAGGCTGGTGGAAGGGTGCGTTCAGACTTCGAGATAGTGGTTATTCAATTATAAATTCACGTTGTCAGGCTGCGTACAGTACCCCTGAAAGTTGCGCGTAAGATTAGTTATGCTGGTCGTGGATGCACACAACGGGGTTCGGGACCATTGATTTTTGGCGTGGAGTACTGTAACCTGGCAGTAGGGGTCGCTGCCCGGGTGGCCGCCCCAACCCGGAGCTTCCTCCTCCCTCTCTGAGCGCACATGTTAAAGCGTCGATGCAGCCTTACAACTAGACGGGTATCGATCGGCGTCGTCCGATAGTGCTTTGATAGAGTGCAGGCGAATAAGAGGGCATCAGACAGTTTGGTTAGATCATCACACCTTTATTTTTCAACCTTCTTCTATATTTCTCCTATACTCTCCCGAAGCACTAGAAGGCCGCCAATCGATACCCGTCCATGGCTACATCCCCTCCATGGCCCCCATCCATGGCTGCGTTGACGCGCGCAACAGCCTTAAAAGGAAAAGCAGCCGAGCATATCCTTCGAACACATTCACAATGAAATACCCTTCAAAATAAGTTTTGATGTGTAAACTTACTTTATCTATATAATATCCTATGTCTTCTATATGTGCTAACCATTTTGCAAGTTGCTCATCAGTGGTGAAACGAATCAGCGAGTACCTGGAAAATGTTTTAAATGATGCACAGCAGAGTGGATGTCTAACTCATTTCAATAACTTGTCCACGCTGATCGAATGGGCGGATACCGATTTCGGGAACAGAGAGGGGGGTAGCGCACTTGATGGAGGAACAAGGTACAGCATCGTTGTGTAAACACATGGGGTCGTACTTGGCCGCTGGGGAAGGGGGGGAGGTCGTATTTGGTCGTTGTTGGGAGAGGGGAGTCATATGTGGCTTTGAGAGAATTTGCCGCGTTGGGAAAAAATTTTGTTCACCTCCCTCCCCCCGCTCGACGGAAAATTTTTGGATGAAAAACTGGAAAATGTGGGAATTTTCGGAAGAACTGGTAGGAAGCTAGGAACTTGTAGGAAAGTGGTTGGTAGGTATTGGAGAAGAGAGGGTCGTACCGAGGCCTTATTTTAGGTGGGGGGGGGACGTACAGAAACCTTGCTTCGAGGGGGAGGGGTACTGACACCACCATTTCACACATCACGATGCTGTACACTGTGGAGGAAAGAAACGAGGAGATCCAAAAACCGAGAACATTCTTCTCGGAGATGAACGAGAGCAAATACGACCCCTCCTCTTTCTCCTGTGTCCTAATACCCCCCCCCTTGCTGGGGATCCCCAACGTACGACGTGGCGTGCTCTTTAGGCCGGACTACTTCATATAGTCGATATGGTCGCAATCCTGCGGGGTGGTGTCAAGGGGGGTGAAACGAGTCCAACCGAGGCGGCCTTTTCAACCTAATAGCGGCCTCAGGGCACAGAACAGTCACTGATAGGCAATGCCCCCTTTCTCCTCATTTTCCTCTTACGTGACTATTCGGTCCCCAAACCGTGACACTTTGTCCCTAGACCGTGATCCAATCGACCAGTGAACAGCTGGCTCATAATCGTCGAGAATAAAAATCTTTGATGACGGCTCAGCCAAGCGTTCCTAAGCCCCCGCGATTATTCGTCCAAACATTGGCAAATACATGCGGGACGTCTTCGACCTTCGATCGGACTTGTGTGCCACGAGATTGGCTACAGTAA